ATCACCACATGGCTCAGCATATAATAAAAATATATACCGTTCCAAAACAGAGGTTTTTTATTTTTAAACTACTGGTCACAGAGACTTCAATTAAGCTTAAGAATGCTTGTAGCCATTACCAGTGCAATCACATTCCTATCTTCCTCTGTAGTGCATCTTGAAGGATATAGGAACACCCTCAGTGCTGGAAGATAGTATTGTGGTAGGCAGGGCAGGTATTTCCTCGACACTGTAAACCAAAGACACTGTAACATGTCGTTCTTGCTTTGCCTCCTGTTTGGAGGCCTTTGGTTAGAAACATCCTCTGTCTTACCGTCTTTGGGGCTGTGCACCATTGTGCCTATTTAACTTGAACCCTTTACAGTTTCCAGCCATGATTTTTGGTTATGGTGGAAACAGGTACATTTTCCAAGTACTTGTATGTCTGAAAGTGCCCCCGATTCCCTTGGCTGTCAATAGATAGTTTAGTTGGTAACATATTTATGATTTTTTTTCAGTCATCCCTCTGTATGCATGAGTCACCTCTGGGTAATCTTGCACAGCTACAGGCAGGTCAAGGACTGTAGCTGAAATGCAACCGTCATCTCTGCTCTGCTCTTCTGGGTTTCTGAGTTTAAGGAGATGGAGATGTGCTTGGAGCCCCTCATCCATGCTATGGGTGTTCCTGTGGTTCCATTGCCCCGGAGAAACCACCTTGGGGTTTACTGTTAGTGTCTCTCTTCACTGTGGCTGTCATCTAAAACCCAGAGCACAGTCTGAAGTTCACTTCAGGGACCAGTCAGAGACTTGAGTGTGGCTCCAAGGAAGTTGTGAGTTGCTCCTTTTCTTTGAAGTCTTCTCTACTCTCTGCTTGCCCTCTGGCCAGAGGAGAGGGGAACTGCCTGCCTCCTCGTGCAGGACTGTGGCTCTCAGATGGCTTGATGTGTCCTGATGACATGTGCTCCTCTCTGGCTCTTGAGGCTGTTCAGCCTCCATACTGTTCTACTCATTTCCATGGCCCCTCCCACCACTCTCCTGTGTGGGAACAAATTTCGGGTGATACCTTAATTACCTTCCTTATCTATCACTCCAGTGCAGAGGACTTGCAGGTGTACTGGGTGGGAGGAGGCTGTCTCTGCTGATTCTAAACACCCACTAGCTCTTCTAGAAACCTTCAGAATGTTCTCAGGGAATCAAGAGGAGGAAAATGAATCAGGCAAAAAAAAATACTGATGTTCATCAGGGTTAAGCATGGAGTTTGGAGGCTATCTTAGTACTCTAGACTTAGATTTAAAGTCTGAAATAAAAAGATGGTTTTCCTAGTCTTACGTTTTCATCTTTAGTGTAAGAAACACCCTTTTCCTAACAGGGTGTTCCTATGTCAAACTTTCAATATATAAGTTAAGACAGACCTAGGAAATTTCACCTAGTGGCTGTGTGACTATAACCTGAAGTTGCTGCCTTGTTGATTTTTGTATAAAGAAATGTGGGAGAGAGGTTTGTCCTTAAACTATTCTAGATTTCAGCTTTTGCTAATTTTAAAATGTTTAAAAATTCTACAGTGTGTATATGTGTGTGCGCTGGGAGAGCATACGTGTGTTGCAGTGCCAGTGTGTGCCACGGGACCCAGGAGGGGTCCAAAGAACAAGTTTGGCTGATGGGAGCTCTGGTTCTATCCTGCCCTGTCCCTCTGTCCATCCAGTGATCCTTGTTAAACTGAGGCTCTGTTGGTTTCCTTCAGCCAAACAACACTTTCTAACCCACGTGGTTCATATCTTCATCTTTGCCTTTCAAGGGCATTGTGTTCTCCTGGGGCGGATCCATAGCTAGCTACTTCTACATGGATGATGGGAAAGACTTCCAAACAAAACAACATCATCTAAAGATAGCACGTTCTAATAAGGAAAAAATCCCAGTAACAGAGTTCTGGGTTCATGGAAGACACAGTCTATGAGTGGGCAGAGCCCATGCATTTATCTGGGCTCCCATCAAAGTCCCTGCCCAGCAATTTTATGATGAAGGGAGCAGGACATCTTGGATTATTCTGTGATGCTCTTTGTTAGCTGTGGTCAAGAGTAGATGCTGCTCATGTTAAACTCCACTTTGCTTTTGAGTCAGTGTGAGATGTACAACGACGAATATCCCATTCACAGGCACTTCTTTCCTTACCTTGGATATCTTAATGGGGATTGCTCACCAGGGAAACAATTTTTAATAGATATATAACTTCATTCAAGTAGTTTCTTTTTGAACTAAAATATTTATATATGTAGGAGATGTTTTCTTTTTTTTTCTAGAAGAAACGCTTTGAATAGCAGTCACTGTCACTGTGTTGGGCTATCTGTCCATTTGTCTGTCTACCTGTGCATCTGCCTGTTTGACTATAAATGACAGGAATGGAGGTTGCAGGGCTAAATGAGGTAATGGAGTTCTCCTCGATGTTATGCTGAGTGCTGGCTTTTAGTCTCACAAATGACGGTGGCTACTGTTGGCATTTCTGACCTGATTGCATGGAGATGCCACAGATTTGAGTACTGGAGTGTGGAGAGATAGAGCCAGGGTCTTTGCCCCAAGTCTGATCTCTAACGCCCTGGGCCCTCAGGTTCAGAGACTAAGAGTTGAGCTGAGCAGAGGTCATACTCAGAACACAAGGAGTTATCTGCAGAGCCCATTACTGGTGGCCAGCTCAGTGCCAGGACCAGAAAGCATGGGGCCTCTCACACAGGCTGAGGATGCTGCCAGTGGCCAGAGCACGACAGGTTGAGATGAGGTCACCAGTAGAACGCCAAGGACCCAGCGGCAGATAGAAGCAATGAAGAAGAATCAGAGCTGAGGAGTTAGGGGCTCTTGAACCCAAATCCCAGCCAGGTTTTAAGTGGCAGGCTGTTAGATACCCCTGATCCTAGTGGCCCTAGGAAGTAAGGGAGCATTACCCTGAGAGCTTGCTGGAACTGTGGACGCAGCCTGTAATGGCTACAGGAGAACATTGGGTCTGAGAGCCCAGGGAAACAGCTGAGAGATGGTTTTTTTTCCTTGTTCTGAAGCTACAGTTGGGAGGGTACAGACCCACAAAGAGGTATAGGTTTATCATCTGGGCTCAAGCTCAAGTTTATCATCAGGGGTCAAGCTTTATGACTGCCAGACCATGACAAGCAGGGCATTCTACTGCTTTGGTGGGTTGAGAAGGTCCACAGTGATACCCCAGCATAGGAGACAAGCATTAGGGATTATAAAGGATGTTGTGGGACAGTCTTGCTCACTTGTAACACATGAGCATCATCAGTTCCTGGTAGACAGGATGGAGACATACTCACTTAACACTTGATGTCAAAGACATGTGACCCATGTGAGTCGGATCCCTGTGTCCTCCAGACCTGGAAGGGGGAAAGGGAGACCCTTGTGAAGCAGGGGTTTCATGGTAACTGTTGACTCTGAGTGCCTTTGGGAAGTTACGGGTCTGGCTCCCCAGAAAGGGGGTTCTCCTGCTTAACATCTCCACTCACTGAAAGGGACTGCCCTCGGTCATGTGCCTCTTACCTTTTTACACACCCTCTAAAGTCATTGAATGCCCCCCCCCCCATTTACTGTGTGGCCTCTGCCTACATCTCTCTTTTCTGTATGCTGTTCTCACTCACTTCACACTCCCTCACCAATGCTCTACCAAGGACATGACTCTCTGCCCCACCTCCCAAGCTACAAGACCCTTTCCTGGAAGCCATACTATACCAACTGATCACTGGAAGTTGACTTGTCTTCCCGCAGTGTGTCAGAACAACAGCAGGATTCATCTGCCTATGCCAGGCCAGGTAGATGGCTAATGTCAGGTACCAACCCAGGAAGCCTCCCAGAGGCTGTCAGCAGGCCCAAGGGTACACAGTGTCCTTTACCAGCCTGAAGCTGAGACTCTGGACACTAGATCCATTGCACAGCTCTGCTGGCAGCTGGCACCTCTGTAGGTAACTTGCCTCAGGTCTCAATTTGCCACTTTCCATTTTTGAGAGGTTCAGGGGGACTGCATGGTGTCTTGGCTCCTGGTGGATCTGAACTTGTCTGCCTACAGTGCCTGGGTGGACTTTCTCATACAGGTAACCACAGAGTCCCTGTCACCTCACTAGACCCCTCTAACCTGAGGTTATCATGGCCTTTTGCTGAGTCTGCAGACATGTCCCCAGAGGACCCTTGATTCCAGGGCACTTCCAGTTTCCCAATGAGTGTGGCCTCTGATGTTTGATGTTGTCTGATATTTCTGGTAGAAATAGACTCTGTTCACATCTACTCAAGAGCCATTTTTCTTCTCCAATCAGATGGTATCAAATCAGCTGCCTCTGGCAGCTGCTTTGATACGATAGTAGGAGGAGACTCTCTTTTGATGCTGTGTTACTATTTGCCCCAAATGGGACATGATAGCAGGTCACTGGATGAGAGTGTAGCCCAGTCTAGGAGACCTGGAGTCCAGCCCCAGATGCCATCATTACCATCATGTGTAGGGATGGTTGTATAGACTTGGGCAGTCATTGGCTGGCATGGATTGCTGGGTCAAGCTGTGCTCGAGAGCTGTTCTCACAGCTAAACATTCTGCCAATAAGGAAGACAATAGAGGGTTTTTATTTATGTTTCTCTACTCATTACCATGCACAACAGAGGCCAGAGTTGCTGAAGCAAAATCAACAAGTCCTGGTTAATTTGCAGAGCTCAAGCATGGGGTTTTTAGAAGACTTCTACCCAGTGCTATTCTCTGAGTCCCATAGAAGGGGCCTTAATTGCAAATGGCATCAAACAACAGCAAGGCCAGTCTGGTATCTGAGAGCCCATATATCCCGAAAGCAAATACTAGTGACAGAGAGCTGGGGAGCCATTGCTGGTTGCTCTGATCTAACCTGTCTGAAACACAGGGTGTGTTTGGGTGAGGGGCCATGCTGGTGGCTTGGGAGCTCATTGGTTGGAGAAAGCACATAGCCGTTTCGGAAAAGCAGACACTCGTTTCTTCTGTCTTTGTTCCTAACAAACCCTGTCCTTCCCAGGTTGCCCACCTCTTGGCTTGGAAACCTTAAAAATCACAGACTTCCAGCTGCATGCCTCCACAACAAAGCGCTATGGCCTGGGAGCGCATCGTGGGAGACTCAACATCCAGGTACTGGCTTCTCAGGCGCATCCTGCCCACTCCGCTGGCTGCTCCGCTCACCGACGCAGGGAGGGTTTCCCCTGAGCTTGGCATTTGTTGAGCGCCTGGCATTTGAAGGGTGCTGGCTGTTTCCCAAGGTGAGGGGGCACTGCAGAGAAGCCCTGTGTATAGAGGGTGGGGCTTCTCCAGAGACAGAAGGCAGGACCGGCGACGAGGTAAGGACTTTCCTTTGGGTGCCCTCTGTCTAGAAATGGCAGGAGCAGAATAAAGGGTACTCACAGGCACGGACGTGGCTGAGATTTCCGTCACACAGCAGGGAGGTGGCCCCATTTTCCCTCTCTTCTTTGGTAATCATCCAGGCTGTTCTGTGGGTCCTCACCGGCTCTCAGGGCTGGATACATCACGTGGAGCTTCTCTGAGGTCTTATTGTGATCTTGATCCTCGGCCCAGTCTTTCTCTCTGCTGAGCTTCCTCTGCACACTCCACAGGTCTTTCCTCCAATGGTTTCATGGCCTAAAGGGAAGGGCCTGTGGCAGCCAAAGCAATAGCAATCCTACTAAGTAAAGGGAGGGGCTCCCCCGCCCTGTGGTAGAAATCAGCTTGTATGACAATGCCTGGCTGACCTCTTCTATTCACGTGTATGTAATGTCACATTTGGCTCAATCCAGGTGTAGGCAGGACTGTCTTTTTGGAGGCTGGAAGAAAAGCCAGGCCTATGGCAGCCCACCTGGCCCTTGGTCTTTCTTTCTATGATGCCCTCGCTTGGTGGTCTGGGCCCTTCTTATGTGTAACCCTGGGTGTTCCCCTTCTGAGTCCATTCTTTTTCTCTTAGAGGACTCTCTAATCAGCAGGTCTTCTAAGGCCTCTTTTAAGAAGTGACATCTGCTAAGAAACATTTGGATGGGGCAATGAGAAAGTGGAGAGAAAATAAAAGACACCATAACACAAAGCCCCCTCGTGTGTTTTAAGAGGGTAAAGGTGAACTCTCAGTAACTAGCCGGGGGAGATCACTACTGATCTGTGAGGGTCCTAGGTCCCCTGGGATGAACTGCAGACCTCTGAGGGAGCAGCTATAACCTTTTCTTTAATGCAGTACTTACTTAACTTTTTACTGCGACCAAATGCCTGGTAAAAGCAACTTAGGGGAGGTTTGTTTTGTTTCGTTTTGCTCGCCCAGAGTGAAAAGGGTAGACTCCATCATGGTGGGAAAGTTTTGGGGTAAGAGCTTGAGGCAGCTGGTAACAATCTCTCCTAGATCAGGAAGCAGAGAGGTGAATGCCCAAGCTCAGGTCTCTTGTTTTTATTCAGCCCAGGACTCAGTCCACAGAGTAGTGCTGTCTGCATTTAGCCTGGGTCTTCCTGCCACAGTTCATCCAAGGTCGGTCCCTAGGTGATTCTAGATCCCATCAAAGTGTCAATCAAATTAGCCACCACACTTTTGTTTCTCAGGAGCCCACTCCTTGAGCATGAGTGCCACATGAGGAGGAACCAAGTCTTCTGCTTGTGAACCCTTCAGAGCCCAGAAATACACCCAGAAAACAGGGTGGAGGGGGGCACAGAGGATGTCACCAGAGACATGGCGAAGTGTGGCTGGAATGTGACTGTCTTGCCCTCTCTGTGTCATGCTTCAAGTCCCTTTGGAGGACAGTTTTTACCTTCTGTTCTTTCTGTCTGCTTTGTCTTTCATGCATAGAAGTGTAGTCCAGGCAAGTAGCCAACCTTCCTTCCATAAGCACCTGGGCAGAGGCTCCCCCTGCTGCTGAGGATGGGAAAAGGAAGGTGTTGGCGGTCACCTCAGTGCTGCTTGTCTCTATGTGAATTTATCTCTGAGGGGGTAAACTGTTTACCCTGGAGCCCTCTCGTGAGGAAATCTCCAGAACCAGTATTGGAGAGCAGAGCTGCAGCTCTAACCCTTACAGGAGAAGAGCTTTATCTTGACCCATTGTTTGGAACATACAGGTAGCTCATCCTGGTGGGGAGGGCATGCAGCTGGACTGACTTGGTCCTTGGCATTGAGTGCTTGAGCATGCCTCTTCGTATTCTGGTGGACCCAGGGGTGAGAGCAGGACTGGGGATTGCATCAGTCCGGAAGGCTTCCATGACCCCTTCTCCCCAGCACCAATGAGAGATCAAATATTCAAATGTGTGAACCTAGAGGGGACAGTTCACAATCAGACCATGATGCAACCTCTTTCTGGGGTTGGCCAGGGAGGGTAGAGCAGGGCTCATAGCACACAAGCATGCTTTGTATATGTTTTGTGTGTTTGTATGAATATGTGTGAGGAGGCCAGAGGTCAACATTGAATGTCTTCCCCAGTCATCCTCTACCATATATATATACACATACATACATTTAAATGCTGTATTTCACTGGACTTAGAGCTCATTGATTGACTAGGCTGGCTGGCCAGCAAGCTCCAGAGATTTCCCCTGTTCCTATCTTTTCAGCACTTAAAAAATGAGGTAGTAGGGATCACTCAGGTCCTCATGCTGACGTAGTAAGTGCTTTGCAGACTGAACCATCTTCCTATCTCACTCTGGGTGGCAAATGCTGGCTTGGTCAGGGCAATCCTTTCAGTTCCTACCTTCTGGAGCTAGCACCACAGGCATCAGGATTTGACAGATTCAGGTGCACAGTTAAAGCCCATGCTCCAAGAATACATCACCCCACACAACGATTAGAACCTCTTTTTAAAAATAACCACATCTTGTCGCACATATGAGTATTTTGTAGGCGTGTCAAGCTAATGGGATTTTAAGTGTGAGAACCACCAAGGTGTCAGAATTAGAATTTGTGTTTCAGTCATCTTTTCTTTCATCAGGATTACAGCAAGTTCAGTCTAGTCCTTCTCTGGCCAAGGTCTCTGCAGGTACACGCTAGCCCATCATCTGGGCCACGGTACACAACGCTTACAGACTAGAAAACTCAAACTGACTCTGTAGGTAGGATGCCCATCTTCTTTTAATGTCATCACAGGAAAGTCCCCGCTCTGCTGCGGTCACAGTGTAGTAACTAAAGGGGATAAAAGTGGAGAATTATCTCTGGTGATTCCCAGAGGCCTCATCCATAGTTCTCAGAATCCATGTGTTTCTTTGTGAAGGGCTGTCTGCTCTAGCCTGGTACAGAAACAGCACGCGGAAAGGCCCTGTTCACTCACTGCGTTCATGATGCTCTAGTCCCCAGCAGCAGGAGAGGTGCGTTGCCTCTAAGAGCTGTCAGCACCTTTCTCAATGACTTTTATACATTATTTAATTTAACACTAACAGCACAGACAAGTACCATTATCGGCTCTCTTGACTTATACAAAGAGAATACACAGAGCTTGGAGAGACACAGCTAAGATTTCCCAGGAGAGGCATCAATCTAAGCTGCTTGAAACCTCAACTGGTGCTCCTCACGATGCTATAAAATTGTCTCCACAGTTAGGGGTGGTCTAGGTGTGACATCTGCAGGGACATCAGCCTCCACCCTCTCTTCTGTGCCTGCTTTGTGCTGACGTTCCTGTGCTGTCCCTGCCGGGTCTAATGAACGTGTCCTGATTTCCAGGGTGTTCCCTGGACGCATTTGTTGGCAGGTACAGGAGTGAGGTCACTATGAGGTGACATCATTTGGTACTGATGTAGCTTTGTTTCCCATTTGATTTTTGTTTTCCTTCTTTGACATCCATGGGGGATTGCATCAAGGGACCAAAGGCCATTGGGGACCCAAGTTCTTCATGTATTTTTATATAACTTCTCACATCCTCCCCTATATATTAAACCACCTCTAGATCACTCTTAGTGCTGAATTCAATGTAAGATGGCATTGTATGCAGGGAGTGATGACAGGAATCTACACCCACTCAGCATAGTCACAGAGTCTGTGTTTGAATGTCTCTGCTCTATGGCTCTTGGAAGGCACAGATGGGGAACAACGAGTCTGAGGGCTGACTATGTATCAGCCCCTGATGAGAGCATTCTCTGCGGGGGGATGCAGAGGGTGAGTGCAGTACGGCCCCTTTGCTTCCCAGTCCTCTGGCTTAGGGTGGCCAAGTCTTCACTTCTGCTTACCTCTTTCACGAATTTTCTTCTCGCCCCTACTAATCAGCAGCACCCCACCTTCCATCATATATAAATGAGTCTTTAAAATGATCAAACCTACAGTTGCATTTTGCATTGCCTGCTTGTGCCTGTGTGTGTGCCTGTGTGTGTGTGTGTGTGTGTGTGTGTGTGTGTTAGGGGAAGTGTGTGTGTGAGTGTGGAAGCCAGAGCTCAACCTTGAGTGTTGTTCCTCGGGTCCTGTCCAGCTTTTTTGAGATGGTGTTTCTTACTGGCCTGGAACTCAGTGATTTGGTCAGGTTGACCAGCCAGCTAGCCCCAGAGATCCCACCAGTCTCTTCTTTCCCAGTGCTGGGGCTACAAGCATGTACCCAGCTTTTCCATGCGTTCAGGGAATCAAACTTAAATCCTTATGTGTGCACAAAAAGCATTGTACCAGCTGAGCTGTCTCTCTAGCCCTATGTCAATTGTCTACAGAAAGTTGCCATGTCCGTGCTAATATTTAGCTGTTAACATTTTCAGCTTTCTGTCTTGTGATTACAGACATTAATGGCAATATACAATTTCCACTTTAAAGAAAAGAGAAAGTTTGTTCAGCAGTCAAATGTGAGTGAGGATGGCTGAGGAACAAGGATTCAGGTTCTTTACAATGTTACACTCCAACATGGTAACAGTTTCATGAAGTTTTTATAGTAACAGGAAAAAGAAAGGAATGGCTGAAGCACCTTTTCAACACATCTTTGGGAACTTCACAGATAGGTGGGTTACAGAAAAGCTGGGAAAGCTCTGTTATAGTCCTCAGATGCTATCTGATGGCATCCTTAGCCTTTGGGTTGGCAGAAGCTAGAGGTCTATTGGAACATCCCAAATGGATTTACATTATAGTCATGAGGATATTAGCTCAAGTAGAGAGGTGGGCAATAAATTGCTGTTAAGGGCCACAAAGATAGTCCAAGGTCGTTTGATCTGCC